GATTGGCTCTTGTTTGCCTTTTGCTAAGTGCAGGTATCTGATAATTGATCAAATAAGGCTAATTCACAGCACAGTAGCCATGGCTGGATTCTACAGACTGACTTTCTGTAGCTAGACTTATATATTGGGGAAAAAAAAGGACATTTTGTAGCAAACGGAATTCAGTAACAGTATTGGGGAACAACCAGTGAAACACCCTGTATCAGATTGAGTTTGTATTCCTCACATCAGAACGTCAATGAGATAATCACACGGGTTACACCAGCCCTGTTTCTATGCAGCTGAACGCTCTCACAAACATCTCTGCCTGCATCTATTGCAAAGACGGTATAGAAAGTGAATATGAAAAGCATTACATGGAGTAGAATGCTTGGGCTCTGTTGAGACCCATGGGTCTGTGTTACGGTATGTCACACTGAGCGGAACTGAGTGGCACCGGTCTCGTCAGTTTGTGAACAAAAAGCAAACAGAATATTCAGCACGTCTCCTGCTGCACACAGGGCTTACGCGAGTAAAAAGGGTTTGTACTGAAGTGACCCGGCTTGATCCCAAGCGAAGGGTAACAGTCAGGTACATCTGTAAGAAAACCCGAGGGAGGGAAAGATTTTGTCTCATTTTCAAATACTGGGCAGGTAGAAAACATCACAGGGGTGAAGGAACCGTCACTTGGAAAACCCCAGCGTTGTGGGAGAACGCTTGGATGAGTCAGCCTCCATTCCACTTGGTACAGGTAACTAACTCCTCATAGGCTAAGTCATGTTGTTACTCCGGTAGAAGCATTTAACAAGGAGATAACTAATTTAAAAATAAAAATTAAACATATCTCCACACACGCGTTCAGCATCTGACTGTATTAGCATAAGTTAGCCATGAAGCAAATCAGAAGTGTCCCATCGCTATAAAATGCAAGCTATCCGAACGGCAAGTGATTTATTCTTTTTTAGTTATTGTTATTATAGTTATTATTCAAGAACATGAAGCCAGCAGCAAAATCTTCAGTAACGTGCTGCATTTTCAGGAAGCGGTCCTGCTGAAAGGGACCGTCCAAGGATATGATTTACATTTGCCATGAAGAATTTCTGAAAGCACGGATTTCAGCTGCTGCTGCGATACGCACTTTCTTTTCCTACAAAACCCTATTCGTAGCATTTGATGGGCATTCTGAATGACACGCGAGACTTCTCTGCATTAATACTGAAGATGCTATTTTGTTCCTCCTTAATGTTCTCTTCAAACTCATTGCAAGTGCACAGATGGTTTCAAGGTGGCTCTCGCGAGAACGCTACTTAAAAGTTCATGTGAATTATGGACAATGTTCACTTTAAACAAAGAAGTTGGGGACGGGGTTGTTCCTTTGCAGTATCTGTTCTGTGAAGTTTGTTAAGCGTAAAGAAAGCTTAAGTTCTTGTATCTTAAAAGAAGATCTTATTTAACCCTTTTGTGTTCTAGATTTACTTACACATGTAGCCTAGAGCTCAGTTTTAGTTTAACATTGTGAAAATATTAAAAGAATCTTGTAACTTTATTCTTTTTCCTCCTGCTAAAAAAAAATTAAACCAATCAGATTAAAGTTTGAATTCCTTTCTGCCTATTCCAACAGGTCTGGCTATTTTGCACTATGAATCCGTTGCAAGCTCACGTAAGAAGTATGTTAGTGGGGAAAATTCCAACGTTAAGCCAGTAACTTGGAGCTGCATTTATGGTTGGTGGAAGGCGAACGGTATTTTCTGCCATTTTGAAAGGGGAGAATTGTATTTTTGCTTCATTCCAACTTAGAGATTTTGTCTGTACGCAGACCTGGCTCAATCTCCCGCAGCCTGAATATTGGTTTAATGTTGAAGTTAGATCAGAAGAGCAGGTTGTCCGTGCTGCTGCGCAGGTCAGGTGCAGACTGTGCACTCTGCCATTGCCATGGAAGTTTTAAAATGTCCTCAGTGTTCTTTCATGCATCAGCACCTGCAGTCGCTGCATGCTTCATGGATGTTCAAGAAATAGATTATAGATTCTTAATCATTTAGAAGCAAGAAGCGCAAAGCTAATAAATGCGTATCGAAGAGGAAGAGAGAACAGCAAGGTGTTTATTTAAAACAACTTTGAACATTGTTTGGAATTGAAATTGTGCCTCATTTCTGGAGCACGCACACCTGTTATTTCCTCAAAAATGATTGTGGTACTTTCAGTTAGCAAACTGTGTGTGATTCTTGAACAGCATGGCTGTGTTACATTAAAGGTAAGTTGGGTAATACAGCTCTTCCCTGTTTTCAAGTGTCAAACCTACAGCTGGGTGCAAACTGAGGCTCTGAAGAAAAATAAGAATTGCCTTGTGACAGTTTTGGTTGTGACAACAGAGCCTGTCCTGAATTACACCTGATTTCTGTTTTGAATTGGTTTCGGGTGTTGAGTGAGAAGTGATGTGGCTGTTTAATGAGAGAACTTGAGCTGCTCTTCAGTAGTGCACAGGCAGCACCCTAAAAGAGCCCTGGTGCAACTCAGCGGTCCAAAAGTAATACTGAGTACTTCTATCTCTCTGTGGAACGTGATGAATAGATTCCAATCTTGAATGACTTTCTTCTTTTGGCACATCTGCAAGCCATTGGCCTCTTGAATACAACAGCCTGTTTATATTCAACTCATTGTGTTGCACCGTTCATGTTGCAGTCATTGCAGTTCCTTCTGTGAGTATGCTACAACCTGTTTGAAAATCTCTAAGCTGTAAGAACGTATTTTTTAACTTACAGTGACTGTATCAGAACAAAAACTCACCAAGATAACTGATATTAATGGTGTCATTAGAAATAGAGGTTTTGTACCAGAGCCTTAAGAATTGTACCAGCACAATGACAGCACCCGTGCGTGTTGCCTGCATGATGCACACAGTTAGAAGTGCCCAGACAAATGAATTGATAATCTCCTTGTCATGTGGTAGTTACTGCAGTCAGTTGTCAGCAGAGCAGCAAAGGGAGGGTCTAAATGAAGTGATCCCTTAATGTCACAATGAGCTGGTAGCCAATTTGTGCTGGAAATAATGTTGCATGCTCCCGGGTACTTTGAAAAGTAGAAAACAAACAGAAATGTTTTTAGACAACGCTATTTAAAATGAACTGTGTTTACTGAGTTTATTTCACCACTCAAGTACCTGACTATAATACTCCTCACGAAACAAAGGTAACATAAGCATTAAGCAGCGGCTCAGCACAAAAGCTGCTGTGGCAAAACTGCTCTATGAAGGTACAGTTCTAGTGTGAGCAGCTCGTAACTTTACGTGAGAGTGCCTCTGTGTGTACTTCATGAAGGACCACACTGGTAAAGAGAGTGAATAAGACTGAACTTGAACAATATTCACAGTGCATGTTTTACGTGGTGAACTTGTGCAGCAGTGGGTTTACGTGTCCCTGGTAGCAGCTTTTCAAAGAAAACAAACTGTAATGGTGCTGCAAAGAGCCACTCTTAAATAACAGTTCTTGAAGCCAGCAGTCACAAGGATACGGGTTTCTGTCTCCTCTTTATTCGTTTCTCCTTTTCATTGAGGCGTCAGTGTGTGCAGCTGGTCAAGTAGTTCAGCTTGAGTGTGTTTCTTCTTGGGTTCTCAGTACGCACAAAAAAGAAGGCACCAGCTTTGTTCCTTTGGAAGCCCCCATACCTTATTTTAAGCAGAATGAAATCTGGATGTTGGGCTGTAAAAGTGGTAACCTCCTTGTGCTTTTTACTGCAGCCACAGGCTGTTTTGTCACTAGCTGCAGCTTAATGCAGACGTTATTTCATTGTTCTGGATGTTAGGCTATTTCTGAAACCTTTAAAGGGAAAAAAACCACCATAGTCCAAATCATAGTTTTATTACATTGTTCATACACAGCTTCCAATAAACTCTCTGTGCTTCATCCTGCAATGTGAAGTTGAAGCAGGAGGAAAGAAGGCATGAAAGCAGGAGGCAGAGGTTGCACATTGACTAGTGCATACTGATTACCAACTCCTTCAAGTCAGCTCAGAGCATGCACTGTAAAGAGGCAAATGATTACTTGCCAAACAGTACCAACTTTCTTAACTTGATACTACAGAAAACTGCTTTGTTCAGTCTTTGTGAATACAGCTGTTTAGAATTCTACTGTGTCAATTCTGAAGCAGACATTATACACGAAGCAATGAAACAGGGATATTTTGCTACAGGACGTTCCTGTTTTGCAATACGCTCCTATTTTCTCAGAAAGAAAAGTGAGCAGAACCTTATAAGACTAACAGTAAACAATTTCAAATTCAGTATGTGCATCTGAAGAGACAGGAAAAGATCACTGAAATTACAGATAGAATTTAAAAAGTGACTGTACCCTCTAATAAGAGGCTTTTGTTCTTCAGACAATAGCAAGCTTTCAGGGCAGTGGTTTAACTGTAAGCAGACTACTGCTTTGTGCTGTGGTTGTGCAGAGCTTGTAGCATGCAGTAGGATGCCGAGTTAATAACTCGCAGCTCAGCGCAGTGACTGTGTAAGTAATGAGAATAAAAAGTACAGAGATCGATTCTCATCCATCGCCTCTCCCTTTACACAAGAGAACAGAAGATGGTGCTCACTGTTTCCTGGTTGCTTCATCCCTTTTATTCTTTTTTGACTTACAGAAGACTCCTTCCTTCCCCCCCAGAGCTCTGCTCGGGTAGCACAGCGACCACACTGACTAGAACGTGAAACACATTGGTTTCTGTGAAAGCAAAGCATTCCTCTCTATCTGAAATGCAGCACCAGGACATCTCTTCTGGGTTCTCAAAACACTTGAAATCTTGTCTGTATTCCTCTTAAAGTATTCAGGGTCTGTTTGAAGTAAAGCAGCAATCCTTTCAAACAAACAAGCTATGGCATTTTATCATCTGAAAGTCTGCATGATCAGCATTTCTGCATTAAAAACCTAACAAAAAGGTTCATTGTTGAAGCATTCCTGAAATGCTTCATCTCATCTCTAATTTTCCAAGAAGCAAGTGCAAGACTTTCTTGGATGAAGCAGAAGAGAACGTCTGAGCCCTTTGCTAGATAAGCTGAATTTGGAATTTATTCTTAACTCCAGCAACAGCTTGCCTTTTACTTTTTTTTCTTCTGCAGCATTCAAACTCCACTACGTTTACTTCAGGTTCCTCTAAGCTTTAAGCAGACCTGTTTCTGGAGACCAGCTGCAGCATACTGCAGTTTGCAGCAGCATGAGCTGAAGATGATGAGCTTCAGGAATAAGCTAAATATTAAGTTATCATCTGTTGATGAACACAACCGTTCTTGTCTGCATTAAAGTTTAAAATGCTGGCTGGCTAGAAGTTTGAACTGAGCAGCCTGTATCAGACTTAAGTCATGCTTCTTTGGCTAGTCTGCCTGGTGTGCCTGATAGCCAGAGGTGTTACCTTCATTCTGGCTGCATGCAGAGCTTCTCCTTCATTACCCTCCATGTTTATATAAATGAAGGTACTTGTCAGTTAAGCAGCAATTACTTGTGAATTCTGTAGTTGTCTTCAAGTCCTCTGCTCACTTACGATTCTCTGGTTTTGATTTCCAGCCTCAGGTCTTGCCAACAATCATAGTTCCAAACAGGTATTTTCATATGCCGTGTGCACACAAATCTGCTGGCAAATCAAACTATATTTTGGGGATCAAACACACCTATGTGCCTTTTATCAGTCCTTCTCTGGAAACGCAGCACGTACCACTACCAGAATTTGCTGGAGTTTCAACGTGATTATCAATAATTACAGACTTAGCCCTGGAAGCACCATTTGCTCACTCCCAATTCCATTAAAAACACTCTCCCCACCCCCAAACAACAGAGGAGGTTGAGGGCATGCTAAGAGCTGTGGAATTGCGAGCTGGTAACTGCTGGGTTACTATTATTTTTCAATAGCAATTCTTCTGCTCTTCCTAGCATGAGAGTACGTGTGTATGTGTAGATATGTGTAAGGAGTTTCCTGTGTGTGTGTATGTAGGTAGATACAGGATCAGATAAATAGGCATTGTTGATTTTATGCCAGCTGTTACCTTGATAGCAATATTCCACCTCAGCCTGAGGCATCAGCTCCTGCTGAATTCAGGCACCTGTCAGCCTTCTACTCCCTGGCTTCTGAGCTTGCTGTGATTTCTAGAGGCTTGCTCCACCCACCCTGTGCAGAATCTCCCTGACCAACTACACTGCCCAACAGCACTCCCCCCACCACCCCAAAATGTCCTGTTCAGAGACCATGCGAATACGACAGAAAATAGAGATAATCATGTCTAAAGTTACTGAGATGCTGTTTCTGTCTGCAAAGTAAAGGTTATTTTTTAAGTGTTAAACGACTGCTGCTGCTTACTATACAAAATTCCTAGAGCTGTGTCTTAGTTCACTGTAAGGCTGAGTTGTATTTCCAGCATAAATCCTTTCCTCAGTGCTCTTACCTTTCTCTGTGGACTTCATCAGTACAAGGAATCCAAAGGCTAGTTTGATGCTGCAGTCACCAGAGGCAAGCAGGCAGTATTTGGTGGCAGCCCTGCAGGTACTGGACATCCATACAGATCAAGCATCCAAGGATGCATTTTTTTTGTCTGTTCTACCTTTAATTATTTCTTCTGTTAGTTATCCTCATGTTTATATGTTACCTACAGAATAATATCACTCATTTGCTAGGTAATCTGGTTTCAAAAGCATCAGCACGACATGATACTGCGTGTTTGTTTGGCATCTTTACATTGAGCTTCATGAAAGCAATTCTCAAGCAACACAACTACTGAACAGCTACTGATTGACATGGACACCACGGGTCACGCAGACCCAAAGCAAATATACTCTGTCAATCAGAACCAGTTCCTTGCCTTTGCTGTTCTTGGTCTGGATGATGAAGGTAAAGCCAATTCCTCTGCCTCAGCTGCACACGTGCAGGATTCGCCCCTTTGCTCCACGGCTGCAGCAGTCAGTGCTCTGCGCCCGCATCCCAAACCCTGGAACATTTCAGGATTCACAGGACCCATCACCCACACATCCCAAAGCAGCCAAGTTGTGTATTGTACCTGCTCTTTCTAATCACTTTTTGTTGTGTGAAACAATAAAGCTGTTTATAAAGAGTTGCAACCTATTAAAGACGACAGTGCTGGTCTGTGATTGAACTGTGCGTTTTGGGGGGTTGTTGCACCAGCATTTGCCTGAAGGCAGAGAGGAAAGAGAGGAAATTAAACTTGTATCAGTTCACAGGCAATGAAACTTGTTAGCCCAGTACAATTTGCAAACGTCCAGCAAGCAGAAAGCTTGGTGCAGCACTGACTGTTTCATACCAGCCCTGATTCAGTCACTTAAACATCACCACAGACTGGATTTCCATAGCCAACTTCAAGCACCTTTCCGGAGAAAGGAGGAGCTCTTATTTTGAGAGCAGTCTGAAAATAAAACCTGTCAGATGGAGCTGAATAAACCATCAAGATTACATAAGTTTTTGTAGAATGCAGCAAAATATAATTCTAATGCTGAAACATATTTTGAATACAACCCTTCTGATTTCACAGAAAGCACACGGGGAGCTGAGACTGAGGCAGTAACAGGAGAAGGAACACAAGGTGACAGGCATCCTGCACCATGTAATTCTTCACAGTAAGACAGCCTGACCCTTGCTGTTCTTATTGTTTATGGATTTCTTGGTGCAATTTTCTGTTTTAGAGGGCTTAACTGTGAACTGCTTGTAGATGGACTACACTGGAGTACTGCTATTTCAAAGCATACAAGAAAAATGATAGTATTAGTCTTAGAACAGCTAATTTTTGTCTTTTATTTGAAAACATAAATAATAAATTGAATCCCTACATGCAGAGAAAAAATGGAGAAATAAGAAGTGATTTTTGTCAGTGAACCTATGTAAACTTTCCTGCACATATTCCACCAGCATGTTAACTTGAAGCTATCAGGTAAATAGTCTGTATTTTGAAAAGATTAAAAAATTATTTGCTCATTTCAGACAGAAGCATGTTCTTCTTGCAGTGTGTCTCTTTGCTTGCAAATAATTCTGCTGCTCATGACTACTGGGTCCCTACCTGTGCCAGCATAACTGGGCAGAAACAGTTCACTGCATGCCAACTCCCAGAGTGATGAAGGCAGCAGAACTTGAAAGGTTCACAGCAGATAAACTGGACAGTACAAACTGTTTTAACCAGGCATTGTGCGACATCTCTCTGGTGGTGTGTGGGTATTGCAGAGAAAGCATAACATATTTTGTGTTGGTGAGGAGCCTAACAAACGAAGACTTATACAAATGGAGGAAAAAACCTACCTTGAGGATGTGGAAGCTGGTCTTCCCAGAGCTGCAACAGGAGTAGGAAACTCACAGGACAGTCTCACTCACACAGGTGTTACTAATTCCAGAGATGACAGACCATGCAACCTTCACCTGCAGGCAGTTCAGCAATTTGTTTATATAAATTGGCAAGGATAGAGAAGTCATACTTGGCTCTAAAGCATGCATGTATCCCCAACTTACTGGAGTGTGGAAACTGCCTCTAAGAAGGAGTCACAGCCCAAACCCACCCATTAAGAATCACGTTCCTTTTGTGTATCTGTACATACTGAACATGCCAGACACACAGGAGAACAGGGCAGTGATGTGCACTATGCTAACAGCACAGTGTGTAATGGTGGAGATAGCAAGGCGCCTCCGAAATCAATTTTGTGCTCTCCCTCTACACCACCTGGCCACCACCTGCCTTTACTCTGCAGGCCCTCTCCTCCAGCAGTAAGAAAAGGCTTCAGATCAGCTTCTCCCACTTTTACAGTACCATCCCCACAGTTCATACCTTCAGAAAGGCAGCAGATCAGCACTGTGGCAAATTCCAGGTCAAAAGCTGTAAAAGAGAAGGGAGAAGTGTAGGACTCCCAAGGCCACGCTGGGCTGCTCAGATCTGTGCCAAAACCATCCCCCTTCCCAACTAGGGCCTAAATAGTTGGCAAGCAAAGTTCAGCAGAGGGACACAGATGTCCCACACACGCCTCCTTCATACACACCACCACCTCTTATTCGGCATGCCAACAGTGGCCACGTGTTCCACGGCACTGGGAGACTTGGTGTGGGTGGAAGGGGATGATGGCTTGGGTGGGACATCCTCCTGGCATCCAACAAAGGCAATGCTTGGCTGCTTTTTAGGATGAGTGCTGATCAGCCCCTGCAAGAAGCCAGGCTGTGGGCAGAACGCAGCTGAACTCCATTGATTCAGTGAACTGACAGTGCCCATTTTTTCATCTGGGATACAGAGCTTCCTGAAGAAGCCAGCTTTAATTAGTGACCCAAGCTTTAGGTGCATGAAGATAAACCTGAGCAGAAACAGCAGATCTCTTTACCACAGTTTTAGTCTCTTCCTGCTCAATAGGAGCCCTGGACCACACTATTTCATAGGTTACACCCTGCTAACCCAAGTCAAGCACAGGATGGGCCCTGCATCAGTGAGCGCCCTGTGCCAAGATGTGACACAGCTTACCCTCCTCTACGCTGATCTAATGCTTTGGCTCAGTATTAGATATTCACAAGACATGGAAAATAGATGCGTATGATTTCTAAAAGGACAGGTCACTAGACAGGGTCACTTACATCAGACCACCATCTCCAAACCATGAGAGTTTCCTGAGGTTAGCTGAAGTGCTGTTCTCCTTCTCACACGAAGGTGGTTTGGGCCAGGCTGGATGTGTCTCTGGGCAGCCTGGTCTACTGGTTGGCAACCTTGCTTGTGGCAGGGGAGTTGAAACGAGATGATCACTGTGGTCCTTTTCAGCCCAGGCCATTCTATGATTCTATGAAATGTGGCTATATTTCCTCCCAGGGCATCTGTCCTTTGGGATTGGAATCAAAGCATGCAAGTACGTTTGTAAAACACCAAAATACTTTAAAAAGCATTAAATAAATACAGACTGTTAAGAGGCCTTCTGACAGCATTAACTGCAGAATAACACATACGCAAAAAAACATTTCTACCAGAATTAGCATCTGCCTGCGTGTAGGAGACAGCGTCACACATTGATTTATTTTACTGAGTGTAAATAAAGCCAATATGTGGCTCCTAGAAGAGAACATGAACAAAGGAAATCCAGGAGCTCAAGGTCAGGGTTTAAAGGACTTTTCTTTCATTTAAGTTCTAGCAGCCTTGAAAGCAGAAATTCTCCTCCAGCTTCCACGGCTTCCCCTTTCATAGCCCAGGCCCTTGGTAGCAGACTGGTTTCACATCTAGATTTACCTAACGATTGATGGATGAAATGTATTGAACTGCAGCATTTAGAGCTGAGAAGTAAAGCTGAGAAGTAAGAGATGTATCAAATACATAACATAAAGACTTCTGGTATCTGACTGCAACGAATCTTGTTCCTAGATAAACTAGCAGCTCCTTCATTTTGACCACTAAGATTCCTTCCCTTTCCACTGGCATTTAAGAGCCTCTCTGGAAATGCTGCAACATCAGAGAAACACAAAGGCTTGCAAATGTTTGGGCTGCTAGTGAAAATCTCAGGAAAGAAACAACAAACACTTCAATGCCATGAAAATGAGTTTGCTAGAATCGCTACACAGCAGATTGCAGATGACACTCTCCAAAAAACTTTTAGTGTGACGCTGCTAATAACATTTCTGTAGACAAATTAAATGCACAGCATTAAGCAACTGTGTCACAGTGCTTCAGAGCACATCAGAATACCCCAAGAAACCAATCCAAAATATGTCTTAGTTCACCAGGCTTTAAAATGAGCCCCTCCTTAAACAGAGACAAAAACCTGAGCTCTGCTTGGGAAAGCAGTCAGTAGTGAAGTTTTAAAGCAAATCCTTTTTTCCTCATCACTTTGTCCATATGGAAAAGGAGAGGGACTCTATCTCTTCTGCTGCAGACCCCCTACCTACGTCTCTGCTCTTCTTTCCCCCTGCAAGGTTTCCCTAACTGAGAATATAATCTGTTTCTGACAGAAGATGCAACGTTCTCTTCCTTCCACAGTAGCTACAAGAAGATAAACGGGCAGCTCTCCCTTTCGCACTACAACACGAAGCGCTTCAAACAGCCAGAGCAAACCAAGCTGCCCTGCCCCTGGAGACAAAGACCATCCACTGGTACATCTCATAGGAAAGGAGAACAAGAACTTCCTAGCATAGCTCAACTGACATGCCCTGAATCTGCCTTACCGCAGTGCACCCAAGACAACAAATTTCCAGCAGCCAAGGGTAAGTAAAAGGTCACTGAGCACGAATGGAAGACCAGGGGACAACGGGCTACCTGCATTCAATTCAAAGAGCGTTAAACCGGCGTTCCTGTAGTCAGATCTGATGCACAGCTGAAACATAAGCCACGAAGAGCTACAAAGACAATACTCCTCTTCCCTTTACAAAGAAGCAGCTGAACAAAAGGCAGCTGCCAATAAAGCAGCATTTGGTTTAGTCCCAGATCTTCTGTAACCCCTAGTGCTTGTTGTCGACAAATGACAATAACAGAGGAACGAGCTCCCAGCAGTCCCCATGAGCCTAGTGGGACAGCTGAGCACTGTGTGCCACACAGCCTGCAAACATGCACAGAGGCTCTGCTCTCTCTGGTTTATCTGGGCAGCGGGATGTGTGTGCGCCACGCACTCAGTAAGCTGTGTGGGAATCAGAGGAAGATGCTTTGTGTCATGATGCTCCAGGTTTCTTTCTTTTGTTTTTCAATGGGATGTATGAATTTGTAATCAAAATGTTTTTAAGTTCTCCCTTTTTCCAGCTTCCTTTCCCAGCTGCCAACATGGTTTAGATCTAAGCTTTGAGAATTTTCATTACTGCAGTATTGGGGCTGTTCACTGTTTGTAGATATATCGAATTAGTCAGCAGGCTCTGGTGCCTCATTTGTTCCCTCTGTGTCTCCTCCAATACACTTCCTCTAGAATATCAGAATAGAAGAAATAGACTTTGCAAGCCAATCAATGTCATCAGAGGCTGAACCCTGCAGCTTCAACTATAAGAAATGCCTCCTGAACAATGAAAATAGGGTTACTGTTTTTTTGTTAATTACAGTTATACTGTGTCCCCTCTATCTCACAGAATGGCCCGCGTTGGAAGGGACCTCAAGGATCATGAATCTCCAGCCCCCCACCACATGCAGGGCCTCCAACCTCCCCATTCAATACCAGACCAGGCTGCCCAGGAGCCCCATCTGACCTGGCCTTGAACACCTCCAGGGATGGGGCATCCACAACCTCTCTGTGCAGCCTGTTCCAGCACCTCACCATTCTCATAGTAAAGAACTTCCCCTGACATCCAACATACATCTTCCCTCCTTCAACTTAAAACCATTTCCCCTTGTCCTGCTGTTATCTACCCTTCCAAAGAGTTGCTTTCCCTCCTGTTTGTAGGCTCCGTTTCAGTACTGAAAGGCTGCAATGAGGTCAGCTTGCTGCCTTCTTTTCTCCAGGCTGAACAAGCCCGCCTCCCTCAGCCTCTCTTTGCAGGGGAGATGTTCCAGCCCTCTGATCACCTTTGTGGCTCTCCTCTGGACCCTCTTCAACAGCTTATCTCCCTACCGTAAGACAGCGTATTTTGGCCAAGCTGCTTTTCTCTCATTTAAAAACATTTTGCTGACTTTGATTTACCCAGCAGTTAAAACAATTACCCAGGAGGCTTCTTATGCAGAGGTAGGATAGGTTATAGCAGTTAATCTGGGACCTCCACCCTCTGCCCCTCAACATTTCATCACTTCAGACCATTCCACATGCATCAGTCATGCATTTGCCCCAAGAAGCTGCATCCATGGAACTGGCTTAAGTAGCTGGAAATTAATTTGTTTTCACTGTTCAACTGCAATAACCAAATTAAACAATGATTATAAAATAGGAACAGTCCCATACTGTGCAGGTTTTACAAGCTGGTCAGCTATGGAAGCCTGAAAACATTAACGAGGCAAAATACCCCAAAGCCTCAAAGTTCTGCTATACACATGCCTACAGTATGCTCCAGGGCAGGAAGATCATCTGCTCCAGCAGCAAAAGCTCAAATCTCCATCAAAGGAAACAGAATTACCTGTTAGTGTAGGGGCTACTATTAAAGCTGCATTACCTTCATGATCATTGTGTATCTTGAGAGAAAAGTAAGAGAGGTTGTTTGGTCCAGAATATCTGCAACAATGCAAATTCAGACTTCCTTTCAGCTTTGTTTACACGAAAGGAGAAGCTCAAAGGAAGCACATTTAAGATCCAACAGGCTGACTCTTAGGTGCACACAGACCCATGCAGACAACACTCTAACTCCAACATGCAATCTGCTAGCAAACAGCTATCACGTGTGGAAAGATAACGAACTAATTAGGCAGGATACCTGAACTCCACAGTTAGGTGCTGTGAGATTCTCAAAACCCCTGCTCAAATAGAAGGAATCTACTTTCAAGTGCCCAAATCTTCCCATGCAACGCACAGAGGTGGCTTTGTGTGGACTGAAATTGCATCAAGAAGGCACTTAGAAATCAACTGCTGCTCAACACCCAAGACATTCTGTCATGCTAGATCAAGGTGAGAAATTAATGCAATTAATGCATGGTTCACAGTGGTAGCTGAACTGTCTTACATTGTTTATGACATATTCATATCACAGAATCACAGAATCACTTTCCTCTGGAATCATTTCCCTCCTCATTTCAGTGTGTGGTAGTATCTTACCTTAAGCAACATCAAGAGAAGATCAAATCAACTAGTAGCGAAAGAAAAGGAAAAGAAAGCAGTTCCTCTCATATGTGAGAAGAGTAAGAACTACACAGATAAGGCAGCTCAATTACATTCTTTTTCATCTTAGATTTTAAAAAGCAGAAAAAAGCTAAAAAAAATAAAATGTCAGAAGCGTTTGGTACAAGTCTCTACA